TAAAGACCTGCAGTTTCAAAAAATGCGAGGCTATTGAATATGCCATTGTCGTCACTGTGACTCGAACATGTGCCACACAGAAAATGTAAGCCTTGTAGAATCATGGAAAAGAACGGAAAAAAACATAAGCTGCTGAAAAGGCACAGGGACTGCTGCAGCACTGAGAGGAATCTGTATAAGTGTGTGTGTGTGTGTTTACAGACAGAATGGAGAACTCGCATTATGCAGGCTGGTGTTAACTCCTGACTCCCTCCTCCCAACTCCATACATCTTCAAGAGGAGGAGAGAAATGGACAATATGGAAGAGAGTACAGCTGAACACTTGTGTGCCGACACCTTGAACAGTGTGGAAGCAGAGAATTAAAAGCCTCCACTGTATTTTTCGGCATCAAGAATACATTCCCTTCTCCATCACCTGCTCTCTACTTCTTTGTCTCCTTTTCAAATAATCTGCACTACTCCCACTCCTTTCCTCCACTCTTTAGTTCTCCAACGCCCACTGTGGTCTCCTCCTGCAGAGCTCAGCATACCCATTTACTCACCTACCACACAGCAGCAACGCAAGACACAGGAAAAGTGAAAGAAAATCTGCACATATACGTATATCTCACTGTGGATGAATCAGTTACTGTGTTGAATTCGCATCCTAGGTCAAGTGATTTCCCTTAATTACATTTTCTTAATTAAACTCTAAATTAATCTCTTTTTCTTAATGATAACCTCAGGGACCTTCAGCTGTGGCAAAAAAGTTTTGATGGTAAAACAATGTAAACAATGATTTATACTAGATACAAAGCTATTTGCCAGGAGAAAACTGTAGGCAGTGCTTTAAGATAAAGTCTGCCAATCACCAAGAGTGGCATATGCAAACAAATGTATGGTTCACTGTGACCAAAAAGCAACCTCGGGCTAGTTATTTAAACGAGAACTATAATAAAACTCACAGCAGCAGCACCTTGTCTAGTATGCTGGAGTGAAGCAAAGCGTGGCTAAACACAAAATCTCAATGAAATGCAAACCAAAAGTAACTGAACAGTAACTTCAGTCAATTAACAGGCTGTTGACTCAGTGAATTTTCTGATTGATCAAGCTGAGCCAAAATCAATTATTTCTGTTCCTCCTGAGATACTGATCTGCTAACAGCAGCTGCACAGTAGCTCCTGATAGGTTCTGGCTATTTGTAGAGCTGCTAAAATAGAAACAGTATGTGTAAGCCATCACGTTTAGAAGTGGATCAACACGAACTTTACAAGGTGTGATCAAAAATTTCCTTGAGTCCAAGAACCATCACCACTTCGATTTTAACCAACTTCCCCTTCGAGTTCTTGTGCATGAACAGCTTCCTCTGTTGCTGCAGTGTTTTTGGATTGATCCCTGTGTGCATTTGCAATTCCCAGCTGCCTTGTGGACCTCAGGCTTGTGCAGAAGGCAAACATCACCTTATGAGCTGACCCAACTTTCATTTTGAGAATCATCATTGCCGACATGCAGACATTACTTTTTTTCCCTTCCAAACTTTGCAGGTGTTGTAATTTCTCCCGCAGGCTCAGAGTGTCAAAGCAGAGTTGCACTGCAATATCCTGAAGTGTAAAGGGAGGACGTCCGCTGGAGACGGCCAGTGCCAACATTCAATCTTGCACTCGCTAACAATCAAATTAATTGAAAAAAGCTCACGCTGTGGTAACTAACCATGTGGACAGTTTACAATTTAACCCTGCTGTGCTTCAGCTCCAGTAATATATGTTTTCCGGTCACTATGAATTATTCACAAACCTAATAAATGTTATTGAAACTACTTGGCATTAAACACGCAAGCATTTAAAAACTGTTAACAGCCTGTTACAAGGATAATGTCGATTAACATAGATAATTCCTTATGAAGGTCCAAGTTGCATTTTTACAAGTAACTTTTCAGATGTTTTAAAAAGACACACCAAAACCAAAATGTTGAATATTTTGTTGTATAGCTGGATATTTTAAACCCTTGGCAGATCAAAGGCAAACCTATCTGCATGCTGCATGGATAGAAACTATTTGCAGTACTTTATGTGAGATTTTTCTCCCCATTAAACTAAGGAAACACTTCATGCTCAGAAAGTTTTGAATTTGCAAATAATTTAAGCTTTACAGTGATTCACTTAGTTAAATCAGTAATTTCTGAATGGATTGGTACTTATGTAGTGCTTTTCTACACAATTTGAGCACTAAAAGCGCCCTGTACTACATGTCTCATTTATACAAGCACGTTATTCTAAGCCTAAGTGCTTTTTAGCTCAAATTCACACAGAGACACACACCCTCCCTCACACACGGATGCACAAGTATTTTGCCAAAGACTGCCTCAACATTAAGATTCAAACCACTGACCTTCTGATTAATGTACAGCCTCCACTTCCTTAACCTCATGACAGCTAGCACTGACCAGTTGAGAATAAACATTTTTCCCTTACAACTGCTGGTTGTATCACGTCCAGTATGGTGGGCAGCTCTCAGTGTGTGCACGATGTCACACGAGAGCTTAAGTTCGTTTATTCAATTACTGTAACCTAATGGAAATTATGAGTTTCGAGTTAAGATTTTAAATACAGTCAATGAGGAGCGCTGGTACTGAATCAGACTGAGTGTTTCATTATGCCCAAAGCCTATACATACTACAAGATTTGCACACAACGTCCTTTTTGCAATAACATTTGTGTGAACACAACCTTCAAAGCAAGTTTAAGCAATCAGAAGCAATGCACTTGAAAACATGTAGAAATCAAAACAAGTCCTACACACACACACACAGAGAAATACTCACACACTTGAAGGGATGCACAAAGGCACTAGGCACAATGAGCAGTGAGCAGCGTGGAGCCAACACACTATCAGATGTATTAGATGTAAGATAATTTTTCTGTGTCTGTGATGATGTTATCTTTAGATGAACACTGTTCTGTGCCGCTCCGAACATGCCCCCGTTCATTCAGCTTTTACTTGGCAGACGTAAGATTATTTCTCAAAGCAGCGACACGCCACCAGTCCTCCTCCATTCATATATCCCTTCTCTAACTCTACCTGATTTATCTTTTCTGTCTTTCCCGCGTGCTATCTACTGTAGCCCGGGTCCCTTTTCAACTTTACAATTTATACATTTGCTGTCCTTGTAATTTCCATTCTCATCCCATTTCTCTGTCTCGACACCCGTTCCTGCTCCATTTGACTTTCTCTTCCCACATCTAAATCACAAATCCTTTCTCTCACCACTTCCAGCACCCTAACTTTCCTCAGTTCCACTGTCTTATTCACTGAGGTTTAAGAGCAGGTGTTCCAATATAGCAGCTTGATCGTTTGATTTAATGGAGGCTCTGTCAGTTAATAGTGTGGCTTTCTCTTATCTGATCCAGGAACAAAGAGAAGGTCTGCTGGGTCTGAGAAGCCCACTTTGTGACAATTGCTTATCTGATTGAAGAAACAGTGGAGAGCGACCTGCGCAGTCTTGAACGATTATGCTCTTATCTGATGGTGGCCTCCCAAAACTAGAGGACAAGTCGGCAAGTGGAGAAATTGGGTTTGTAAGGATGTTGAAATTATTTAGCAGAACTTAATTTAAACTGTGGGAAAGAGGATGTAATTTTTCGCTCTTTTCAAACAACAGACCAGACCTTTTTCCATTATCTTCTTTTCAGCATGCAGTGTCTCTGGATTCTCAGTCAGTCACACTTTTTTGGTCAAAAGGCAAACCTTAAGGCTCCAAAAACACAATGGGTAACACTAGTTTTTTTTCTAAAGCGCAAGCCATAAAGGTTAATAAACAAATAATTCACATTACGCATTAACCTAATTTGATATTTAGATGCCTTTTTTAAGCCATTTATTAGGCAGACAGGGCTAAGACAGTTTGAGCTTCTCTCAGTATTGGTGGCTCTTCACCATTACTACACACTGAAAACATTTGGGTTTTAACCCTTTAAAACCTAAACCATGAAATAACTGCCAGAAATCTTTAATTTTTTGATATTGGAGTGTTTGTTGAATGTAGAGAAATTTCTTTCATTTATGTATTATTCATATTATTTTATTGTATAATGCTTTGGTGCCACTGGGTTTAAGCATGTCTCAATGTCTCACAAATTCATCATGCCATTGAACAGCCGGGTGATTGTATCTCAGGAAGTTTGGGGGAAGCATTCACACACAAAGAACCCAGGGTGGGGGGAATAGCCTTTTGTCTCTTCAACCAATGTAAGACGTAGCAAGGGAGTATGAACTTTCTTTGGGGGAAGACCAAAGGTGTGAAAACAGCTGTACACAGCTGTTTTCACACCTTTGGTCTTCCCCCAAAGAAAGTTCATACTCCCTTGCTACGTCTTACACTGGTGTACAGCTGTGTACAGCCTTTTGTTCCTGTAGGAAGTATTTAAACCCAGGGCCATGCCGGGCTCCAGGAGAGACTGATCGACTGCCCCAGCGATGGCTTCTCTCACCAAGCTTGGGTTTTTGTTCTTGTTTTGATTAAAGGATGTTAGCGATCGCTCACCGTTTGTCTGCAGGCTTTATTAAATGGAAACTTTGAACATTGAACCTTTAGACAAAATATATATAAAAACATATCAAACTTAATCTGCATATATGAGTTTTAATTTGTATCACATTTGCTACATTAGCCGTATTTTTGCAATTTAGTCATTGGAAATGTGTCGTGCAAATTATATCATTTTTTGAGGGTAAAAAAAAGTCACACTGATGATGTAGAAGTCTCAAAAACTCACAAAAACACATGCATCAATTATGATATGCTTGGCTTTAAAGGGTTAACAGTTGGTTAAAAAGGAGAAAAGAAATCTGGAACACCTCCTTGAGCTCCAGGAAGCCGTGAAGCACTTTTTCTTTTTACATTTTACAATTTTAAAGGATAAGTGACAGCAAAAATGTCACCAGCATATCTGCAGTTCATAAAGCCAACTCCTTTGCGTCTCCATTTGAACACAAACTCTCCAGACTATTACAGTGACACTTACTGTGCTCATGCCGTTGATCTGATCAAGAGTCAGCTGAAGCAGTTGCTCGTCACCGCTTTCAGACATCAGTTTCAGTGCCGGCTGCAGGAGGCTTGGCTGATTTTGGAGCAGCAGGGTAGCTATGTGTCTAATACACTGAAAAAAAGAGAGAGAAAGACAGATTTGGGAGGGGGTGAGATGAATTGATAAATGTGCAAATGAATGGATGAAAGGCAGAGGGTGAACGACAAAAGCGAAGGCAGAGATGAGAATAGCACAAGGCAATCAGGGGACAGAGTCAAAATGAGGAAGGGAGAAGAAAAGAGGGAAGCAGAAACAGAGAGAACAGTGAAGGTTAATCGATGTGCATATAATGTAGCGGCACCTAATACTTTTAAAAAGGTTTACACACAAACACATGCACACGCCAGACACACAGTCCCATCCAGTAATGTACGGATATCACAATGCAATCTGACTCCCCCATGCTCTGCCGGTTTCATTCCAGCAGATTCAAATTAAAGCTGCTCAGAAAAGAGTAAAAGGCCTCCCCCACCCCCCATCCCACACTAATATTAGACAGGCTGGCAGACACTAGCCTATTCACACTGAATAGCATTAGTGCTAAACTAATATCACAGTCAGCTGGCCCTAGACATACAGAATGGCATTTGGCTTAGCACTTGCATGGTGCTCAGCAGGGCATGAATAGCATTAGGAGCTGTTAGATATCAATGGAAGGCTAGTGCATATAGTACACTGCAGAAAGCACTGAGCTGATGCTAACACATTGCTGTGGGTTACATGCTTAATACCTTTAGCCTCATGTATTTAGATATTGGTTAAAATGATGGCACTGCAGCGTGTTTCTACTGAGCGCGAACAAGCTAAATATAATAATGGTGACAAAAGATGAACTGATGTTTAGGAGCCATACTCATTTTAAAATAGTAAGTGGCGAAAACGAAGATCATGCAGCTTTCAGAGTCCCATGTCAGTGCTTATCTTCTATCACTGGAATACTTTTACATATAAATTAAACACAACAGCACATGAAGTAGTGTAGGAGCATAAAGTGGAATACAAATGCCCATACAACCCAGAGCACTATGAATTGAAAATAAACAACAACAAAACAGCTTCATGAAATAATTGGCAAACACTTAAAACCCAAAATGTAAAAATATAACAAAGACGACACGTCAAATGTTAAAAATCTGAACACACAACTAAAAAAATATTGATTCATGTTGAATTTGATGCCAGAATATAATATGTTTTAAAAAAACTATGGATAACAGTCAATTGGAAAAGTTGTGTACTGCTTAAGTAAATAATTAGATAAATCCATTTTAAAAAGACAGGGCAGAGGAGCTCACGACTAATTAGGTTAATTAGAAACAAGTAAGTGACGGACTGAGTATAAAAAACATCCCACACACATTCAAATCTTTGAGATTTAAAGATGTGGAGGAGTTACCTACTCTGTGAAAGAAAAAAAATACAAATAATTTAAAAATAATTAGAATAATAATTCTTGAAAATAGCTTGATAGTGCTATTACTGAAGGTGCTGTACACATTATGCTTAAAAGATTCAGAGAATCCAGAGAAATCTCTGTAACCAAAGGCTGAAAACCAATTATGAAACCGATATTTTGGGCCCCCCGGGCAGCACTGCACTAAAAACAGATTCTGTAATGGAAATCACTGCTTGGGGTCACAAACTCTTTTTAAAACCAGTGAACACAGTTTATCAGTTTACCACAAGTGCAAAAATAAACCTGCATCCTCTGGACTGAAACAGAGAACGGCTGGTTTGGTATCTGGCAGTTCAAAAGATGGTAATGGGGTTCATTAGTGCTTATGGTATGGCTAACTTTAATATCTGTAAAGGCACCATTAAAGTCTCATCCTACTGACCCTCTGGGTCCATGCATTCCCCAGAGGGATAGTTTTTGTTAAACCTTTTAGGTGGATCCAAGTTTTTGACTTTTGCCACTCAATTTGTTCCTAATGACGCCACACCATTGTTTTCCATTTCTCCTTTGATTAGTGCTTTTTAAAAATGTTCAGGAGTGAGGAGTGAGAGTGGGATTGACAGACAGATTGGTCTCAACAGTGATAAGGGCACTGTTGTGGTGAAGATTGAGCAGAGCGTGAAAGTGAAGCTGTCGATTTAATGGTCGATCTACGCTCCTACCCCACCCTACGGTTTGTCGGGAGCTCTGTGTATTGACTAAAAGAATAAAATGACAGATACAAGTGGCAGAAATGAGTTTCCTGTGAAGCGTGTTCGTGCTCAGCCCTGGAGACAGGGCAAGGAGCATTGGAGGAGCTACTCCTACACATCAAAAGGAGTCAGCTGAGGTGGTTTGGGTATCTGACCAAGATGCCTCCTGGGCGCCTCCCAGGTGAGGTGTTTTGAACATGTATAGAAAACCGCGGGGTAGACTCGGGACACGCTGCCTGGATCTGTGTTTACTTCAGTTATTTTCTGTAGGGTTCAAAATTACCCTGATTGGTTTCATCATATTTGAGTATGGGTTTTCTGGTTTTCTTTGTTTCTTTTTATTTATTCATTTATTATTTCTGTCTGTTTTGTGCTTTTTACACAGAAACTACCACATGTAATTGATTGGTAATAACTTAGAAATTGACACATTATTAAGTTCTTGCTTCTTCCTTGTTACCCTGCTATTACCACTTTATTACCAAGCTCTATTTCCACATTGTTACGCCCAGTTTTGGGGCCCTTATAATCCAATCACATGCATTTCAGGGTAATATTACTCAACTGTAACCACTGTTACTACCATGATATTACATGGTTATTACTTTGGTAATTGCATAATAATAATTACCATGCTACAAGCTTGTTTCCCCCTTATTACCCTACTATTACCCCTTTATTATCGAGCTGTAATAGAAAGTGCTACCAATAATAATTACATAACTGATATTGCTTTGCAATTATATTTGCTTCTTGCAGTAAATTATTCTTAAGGTTACAGCAATTAGTCTGTGTATGTGAAATACGTCAGTAGGAGGGTTAATGTTGCTGTACCCGTCTACATATACTGTCTTTCAGATGTTCTTGCTTGTTTCAGCAAGACACTCCCATACATACTTCTGCAGCTGTGAATTCAAAAAGCTGCAAGTGCTGAAATGGCCTGTCTGCAATCCAGGTCTTTCAAGCACTGACAACATTTGGCACACTTTGAAGCTGAATAAAAATAATATGACAAAAGAAGCCTGATCTGTTAAGAAGAGAACTCCCACAGCAAGCAAGAATGGGAGGAAAAAAGTTCACTTTCAACACTACAATAGTATCCTCACTTTCCAAATGCTTTTTATGTGTTATTAAAAGAAAAGATGATGCAACGCAGTGGTAAACATGCCCTTGTTTTAACTGGAGCGAAAGGTGTTGCTGGCATTAAATAAAAAATGAATTTTCTTTTGCTGTTATTTTCATTTTATGCAGAGGTACAGCTGAGTAAGAGGACTCGTATGCAGTACTTTGGTGAATGTATTTCCATATCCATTTAATTTCGCTGAAATAAATAAAGATTTACTGCTTTAACACACTTTGGCTAGAAAAGGCTAGACGTTCACAAACAAAAAATACAGAGTATTATCTGATTACCTGCACAGGGAGCTTGTGTTTGCTGTTATAGAGAGATCTCACCATGGTGACAACCTGCTGACCCAGGTCTGTTTTGACCTCTGATCCGTTGCAGCGGGTCAGTAAGGCTGAGGTTAGCACCACCCAGGGGTTATGCTCTGACTCTGCCCTGCAGACAAGAGAGAAACAAAGACTTACAAATGTGTGTCTGTGTGTAGAGTTGTGTTGAGCTTCTTTGTCCTCTCTGATTGACATAAAGAGGAAATGCACTGGTAAACAGTACACAGGGAAAACAGCTGCCTTTGATGGTGTCTTCATGTCAAGAAAAGTTGGAAAAGAACAAAAGTGCAACATGTAAAATTACTCTAATGCTTTTCATCCATTCCTATGTACATACCCCCATGTGACCAAATGGTAATACTGTGAGACAGCAACTGGCAGATGATCACTGCGTATACACCAAAGTGTACAAAAATGTACAAAAATAACAGCATAAACTTACATTCAAATCGCAGGCTGTTAAGAAAGCAGAGAAGGTGATCAAGAAGCCTAAAGATAAACAAATTCATTCCAACACTGACATGTAAATACATGTTCTCGTGCAATTAATATTAAACACCTGCGCGCTATATTTTCCCTCACCTCTGTGTTAATGCCAGTGACAGGCACCACACTATTTACACAATCTTTCATTAGCTCTTAAGACCTTTGCTAGCGCCTCTAGAGCAAATGCGCGCCCTCAGCCAAAGCCGGCAAACACCGGTGTAACCTTCATGGATCTTTATCAATACACGGGGGGATGGAAGACAAAAATCAAAAACCATGGAACAACTCATTATCGGTTTAAATATGCCACGACTGATGCATTGACCCTGTTGAAGTAATTAATTTTATTACTATTACCCTTAGCATGGCACGGAGTCATATTAGTGCCTCTGTAACTGCCAACAGTTATTAATTTTAGTGGCTGCGGAGGTTGTAGTCTAATGCAAAACCAAAGCCTCATTATATCTGCATCAGGCTACACAAGAGGAATCAAAGCACATTTCTGAGTCCTGGTGAGGTTGTAAATATTAATACAATGTATGGAGAAAAATAAATAAATTCTGAACTCGTTAGAAAAGTAGAGGCACTTCGAGTGCTTCGAAAATACATGTTGACACGCCAGTGCTGCTGGAAGTTGTGTATGTGATTAAAATGACAAGCAGTGCATTAAATATTGAGGGGAGAGCAAAGGAAGAGGAGATCATCAGGAATCTGATATGAATACGCGCTTTGTATCAAATGATAATGTTTTGCATTGGGACCAATCTTTGGTCGTATGATGGGAAGCAGAAACTCTAGAGTCAGATTAGGAGGTTAAGCATTTTCTTAAGTAGGCTTGTGAGTGTGTGAGCATCTTTGCAAAAGAACCGAGTGTCAACGAACGATGGTAAGGCCCGTCAAAATAAAGAGACAGAGCGCGATAAAGAGACAGCAGGGAGAACAGCAGGGCTTCTGTGTCTGTCTGTTAGCTGAAGAGGCAGCTCTCAATCCCACTTCCGGGGTGTCTTGTCCAGACAAGCTGCTTCACCTTTGGATGATACGGCCATGGGAACAAACAGAATCCGCTTGTGCTGCTGGCACGCTACTGCTTCCTGTGCTTTTCCAGGGGACAGGAAGGTACTGCTGCATGCGACTTTTTTGAGCGTCTGTGTGCTCGCCAAATCTGTCAAAGGGTGCAGTGTGAGTCACAGCCAGCCTCCATTCGTGCTTTGAATCATGACTCAGTTTATGCGGACAGACTAAAGGAGAAGCTTTTCAGATGCAACACTCAGTACGGCTCCCAAAACAGCCTCTTATGGTCTCACTGAAGCAAATCCTCAGACTGACACACACACACACACACACAATGGCACACTTCCATCCCGACCAGGATTAAGTGCTGAGTCAGACAAGTATTTAAGGTTAACCATGTGTTCTGCACAGAGATAAAGTCCTCATGCAGTCAGCATCTAAAATGAGGCGTTTGAAGGTTAAGCTATTCTGAGTTTTGTGTTCCAAATTATGAGCTCCACGTGTAGCCATCACTGCACCAAAAAGAAAGAAAGAACAAAATATGCAGAGCAGATGTGGCTCTGAGCAGAATTTCGGGCTTGGAGTAAGTACATTACAGCGCAGTTGCTGTTTATTCATGTTGTAGCAAATTAACAAAGTATGGATGCCAAAACAAATGAGAAAAAAACAAAAAGACATATGTACAGGCTGATTTTAGGCTCACATTTGAATGTACAAGACAGATGCAACAAGACAACAGATAAAACAATCTAAATGATCATAGCTGACTGTCCCAGAGGTCCGACTGTAGCTATCAGGCTCACAAAAGCAGTGGAGTTTCATTGGAACTTGGAGTGACCTTGAAGCAGCAGAGTTGAACAAACCCTAATCCTATCTCTTCTAGTGCTTCTCTACTGAATATGTATGTGTGTGTGTGTGTGTGTTGGCTTTTTACATCAGTCTCAACACATCTAATGACATCCCTGGTGTCCATTACGAATGGACTGTTGAGTAATGTTTTTCATTTTGTCCATTAAACTGCAAATAGCTAAAAAAAAAATATGTTCTTCTGTTGGAAACTGTTTTTATCTCCCACTTATTTGTTTCCCCATTCACAACCAGCTTTATCCTCTTTTGTACTTTATGGACATCATGAGCTTGAAGATGACTCAAATTGACAGACAAAAGAGTCCAGATGAAAAATGAAATGAAAAACTATTCTTCACTAGTTTGCATCTACAGTAATTGCCTATTTCCACAGTCAGATCTTTCCAAGAGACTCGGAAACTTTACCTGCTTTTCAGCAGATGAAACTACTGTGGAGTCAAAGTTTGCTGTACTGGAAGACAGCTGCTGATCAAACACTGTACAGCTCCATTTATATAAAACCGAAGTCAACAGGCGCACTACGAGAATGAGAGGTGGATAATGCTTACTGCCTTCTTTACAAAAAGAGACATTTAAAAAGAAACGCACGTGTTAACACGCTGTTAACCTGCTGCTTGTTTTTAACCCGACTGAGCATAAACAGATAATCATCAAACATCTGAATTCATTCACTGGATCCATTCAATCTTGAACAACAATGGGCTTACGTGCCTAATTTCCACAGTCTTCCAGCTGTGGTGGAAATGAAAGCTTTTACTCTTATTTCGCTGAAACATTTGTCATAACTGGGGTTACGACACTTCCCAAGTTTAAACTGAAGACTGACCAGCATTAGAGCTGTACCATATTACATACATATCTCCCTTGTGTTCTGGGGGCCTCTGGATGTCTGGAGTTTTGATCTCCTCCATACCTGCTTCATGCCCTGGAGGACGGGGCTGTGGCCCCCCCACACCCTTTAGCAGATCATTACATGAAGGAACCTTTTAATTACAAGCGCGCTCATGCTCACAGGTGTACACACGGGTGCTCACACACACAAACTACACCCTTTTTGGCTCCTACCTCAAAGCACACTGTGCGCTGTCGATCTTACGTGCTGCACAATAATGTTTAATATTTAGTATTTACTGTTATATTCCCATATATCATCGTGATGTTGTTTATTGTATTACTCTCGTTTTCTTCTGCTTATTTTCTTTTTTCTTTCTCAACAGGTGATCCAGGTGATTGATATATGTATTTTTTTTTTGTCTGCTTATTTAGTTGGTTTTTGGTTTTTTTGCCCTTTATCCCCGTCCCTCTTCTCCGCTGTTTTTTTTCCCCCTCTTCCTTTCTCCCTTTTCTTTTCCTCATTCAAGTCTGTCCCGTATCTAGCAAGTGAAAATAAAAAAATAAATAAAATGAACAATAAAAGGTGAATCAAATAGACCATTGCGGCAAGGCTGGGATGGTCAATTTGGTAAAGTAAATCCGTTGGGCATCTTTCCTCGCCTTTAGACAATAATTCTGATGGCAAAAGAACCAAACGGGACAGGCAAAGAAAAAAAAAAAAAGAGCTGTACCATATTGTAGCGTGCGTGATACTGGTATAAATTTTTGTGTAATTAAATTGTTTCATATTAAAATATTAATGATATAACTTCGCCATGCGAGCACAACAACAAGCATGTTTAAGAGTGAGAGCCGTGTCAGCCTCCAATGATGATTTAGTAAAAGTAGAATGCTTAGGCAACACTTGCACAATATGCAAGAAAACTGCTCGCTTTACAGCTAAAAACATCAAGTTCGTTTTACTAGTTGAGGCAAAAACAAACTGTTGGGTACAACCAGGTTATGAAGGCACGTGAAGCATTAATACTAGCAGCCCAGAAGTCAAAAATGGACCAAGCTGAGTATCGCTGGAGCACGTGTTAGCTGCATTTTATATGATAGAAGGAGCAAATGCTGAATGGAAATGACTGATGTGTTTACATGGAGAAAATGAGGGCTATAAACTGTCACGGCTGACGAGGCGAGCTGTGTGGAGGTGAGGTAAGGACCCAAATGCAGGCTGAGGTTGTGATGAGAGCGAGCTGAGTGGAGAACACAACAAGAGCGGAGATGACATATGCAGAAACTAAGGAAACTCTAAACTGGGAAAACTAATGAAACTGAACTGAAACCCGAATGCACATAAGGAGAAACTCACAGAGGTTACACAGGGAGACAACACAGAGAGACTTGGGGGAGACAACACAGACGAAGCAGCAGCAAGCAGAAGAAAACACAGGGCTTATATACACAGTGGAGTAATCAGGGAATAGGAGACAGGAGGGAAACACAGCTGAGAAGGAGGATGGAGAATGCTCTTTGTTTTGTTTGTTTTGTTTGCACAAAAATGCTCCTGTCTGAGAGCTGCAATCACCAATACCTGTTCACTACATTTTTTTCTATAACATCATAAATATCATTGTCAAAAATTTCCCTCAAATATCGAAGCCCCTAACTGGCATACAGTAGATCCCAGTATTGAATGTTTGATCCCGAAAGCTTTTCTCTGAGCTCCCTGTCTTAATTGTTTGCACTTTTAGTTAACTGTGAAGGCACAGTTGGACTGATCCTACACACACTTATAAAATATACACACATTTATAAATAAAGTTTCAAGTCATCACGAGTGTATTACAACTACTGCGAAAGAACCTTGCTTTGATTGAGCTGGAAGGATAAAATCCAAGGAGCATTAACCAGTTTTTCTCTGTGGTCCTCAGACAACGGCTCACTTTTAATTGAGAACAATGGAGCAGGGGAAGAGCAATCACATCATTAGGGTTCATCGATAATATAGCCAACCCTTACTGTGGCTCAAAAGACATCAGCTGGCGCAAGAAGGACAGAGCCCGAGGCTCTGTGATTTCCGAGTCTAAAAGTCTATGTACACAGCATCTAGGAGATAAAAGGCACCACCAGCTCTTAGTAAAATGCAAAGGCAGTCCATAGAAGTTGCCCATTAAAATGTCCATGTCCTCATGCGTTCCCATTTCCCAAAGCAACAAATCTAATAAAGAAACTACATTTTAAAAAGTGTCTATGGGTGTTTGTGAAGCAACAAAACACACAGAATCACTCACTTTAAGTGGCTGCTTTGACCCAAAGCAGTGAAACAGCACTTATATTTTTAACTATATATTCACTGAAGATGCTGAGAGGGCACCAGCAGAGAGAGGCGACAAAAATGAGAGAAAATTAATTGACACCATATGAGCCGCTACACTAATAGTATTCTCCACACAGTCAGCATCAACGGGATATTTTAATTACTACCTCCAAACCACAGACAATGAAATATTTACATGTTTGAGTTTAAATCCAGTACATATGAACGTGTGAATAATAAGGCTAACAACATGGCATTGTGAGAAATCCCATACCACGCACCATGTATGGAATATGAATACTATTGTCAACACATAACTCCACTGATTAGTCCATTCACGTGCCTTCCTAAGAGTCATATTGCCTTCTGGAGACATGTTACCATGGTAACTTAACCTTATTTAATATGTAGCAAGTAATGATGAACAAATTGAATGTATTGCCATGAAGCACCATATATTTAAACACTTAAAAGGAAGAGTTACTCCACCCAGCACCATTATATGCTACACTAATGCACTGCATTATTGGATATTTATGTTGGTATTGCGTCGTATCGTTTTCAGTACTTGTAAAATATTTACCTAGAAATTGCCTCTTTGGTATTTCTGGGCACATAGTGATATTTCAGATGTAATTACAAACAGGGGTAAAGAAACGTTCACACAGTACTGTGCAAAAGTCTCGACCCACTCTCTTCTTGCTTCTTTATATTTTACTAGAAAATTGAGAATTAGGTGCAGCTATGTGCACACACATAACAGACAATTTCAGTTGATAATTTTGGATTGTCTGTTCATCCCTTGAAGGTTAAATGGCTTGACAATATATATATATTTGTATATATTTTAAAAAATAAAAACATTCTTTTGAAAATTGTCAGGTGCATGGACTGGACTGAAAATATGTGGATAAAGAAGCCAACATCCAAAGAAAAACTCCAGACTTTCTGAAGAACTTCAGAAAACCTAGAGAAATACTGCTCGGGACCACATTAAAATGATAAGAAAGTCTGGCAGCTAGGAAGAAAAATATAAATAAATTAGATGTAAGATTTTTGCAAAACACGAATACAGCATAAAAATTATAAAAACGCTTAGAAAACATTTAAGAAGTATGCAACAACCACAATAGATGTGCTCAAAGAAATACTTTGATGCTTTTTTCTTTTCTTGCTGACAGTTAATTCTGCTCTGTCTCATATTCAGTCCACTGAACTTTAGACAAGAGCCAACAGCAGAGCTCACATAGTTTACTGGAAGGATGCGCAGCTAGCCTGGCTCTGTCAAAGATAAGGTTCAGCACATAAGTCTTCACTACTCCACAGCTGTTTTTAAACACTTACAATACTTAACTTTTTTTTAAAAAAAAAAACTGATAATCAGTCTGTTAAATCATTACTGTTAAATCATTAACACGAAATAAGATAGACGTTTGACTTACACTTCCTCTTTCATCATAGGTGGCCATGCTTGGAGGAGAAGAATGAGCAACTGAAAGTCTTCCCACTTCTGCGCCGCTTCCAACAGCTCCTGGAAAAGGCTGTATCGTTTTTCTTCATTCTCCACATCCTCTATCTGGATCTGAGAAAAAGGTAAAAAGAGAAACCGGGTTGTGAGGAAGGCAAATCAATTTGGAATGAAAACAAAATGGCAGCTACGAGAACATTGATTCCGAGCTTTACCCAGGACACTGAACATCGAGCATGCCTGTTTCTGTTACAATTCTGCCTCATGTGTATCGTTGATAATAAACATAACAGCGAATGCCAGCATCATCCACCGAGACGCTCATCTTAGTCATCGGGTACGCGGGCTATTTCCACTACACACCATACGCAAAAATGGATAGAGCCCATTTCATTGATTTCAAGTTAAGAAAGCTCTCAACAAACTTGACAACATAATGATTTCACTAAAGATTGTGGGCACGATATTCCTGCCAAAGCAAGATGTGAATGAACTGCACAGTCACACGCAGTCAATCTAGAGCTCCATCAAACACTTCAAAGCTACAAAGCCAGCGAACGGAAAGAATAAGGCTTTTAAGAGTAATGGCACATTTTATTGTTATTTTACACAAAAAAAAAAAGAAAAAAAAAAAAAGTCACCTGTGGCCAACTTTATTCGAAAAAAGAAAAAACGACTGAGGGGAAAGAATGTGAGAAAAGAGAATGAAAAGGAATGAGGGAGGGATAATATGGAAGAAATGAGATGAGGAGGAGAGGGAGGAGGAGGGAGTGGAGGGAAAGTAATTAATTTTCTTCTCAAAGGTTGGCTTCTAGTGTGATTTAACAGTTCAGAGAGCGGCTGATTTCTGAGGGGAAAACTATGACCTGCCAAAGCAAGGCTGCTGCAAGACAGGCTGTGTCACACACACAAACACATGTACGCACACACAAGCATCACTAGCAGCCAGACTCGGGGAACGGTGTCAGCTTTGGTGGAGCGCTCACATTTATACGACTGGATTTGTATTCTATTCCTAGCGATACTTTACTTGTATAATGGTTTTAAAACCATGCATACGGCACAGATCCCACTCGTTTATTGGCTGACACCTAGCTCTAAAGCACTCATATACAGCCAAGGGGGGAAAAAAATGAACCCAGAATCATTCGAAAATATGCTTCAATGGAAAAATCAACCTCAAAAATATACAGAAACATATTTTTACTGCAATGCACAATGCTGTTATAAACAGCAAAAGTCGTGGCAATCAACTAAAGTTCTTCTGAGACATGTTATAAATGTCTAATCATGCACTAAACCACTGGCAGCATAACAGATACACGCCCAGTGTTGTAGTCAATTGCCTTGTGATGGAGGATGGAGCAGTAAATGAGTAAAGCTTAAGCTCTGGACCTTCTGGAAATGGAGGTCACTTGGGAAACAGAAATGGAATCTTAACTACCTGTAAAAAGCTCTCACTGCAATCTAAAGCTTTCAAATCCATCCCTGAATGTAAACCGCAACCCAGCGCTTGTTCATCATTATTACTGCTTTAATGCATTATGAATACTGAACATTTTCTAACTATTGATGCCTTTTTAAAGTTTTATGGACACATTTATTCATTATCTATGAAAATTCAAGGGTATGTGAGACCTTGGGATTCCCCGATAATATTCTGATTATATGTTCCCCCTGGAATGGAAAAATGATAAACGGCGAGTGCACCCAGATGCATCCAAATAGAAACTCTTTCGCATACAAAAGCCTATCAGATTGCATCGTCTCACTTGCCCACTCACACACACACGTCAAAACTCACCTACGGTTGTCCCCCAAATTAACTCTGTCAATTACTTTGTGGCTCTGAGGCTTTTATTTTCTTAACAAGGAAGGATGTCAATTAATTATGCCTAGTGATTAAAACCAACATTTCCTCTGTGGCGTTGTACAATGAACAGAGTGCAGGAGGGCAAACGGAAGAGGGAGGGGGGGAGTGAAACTGTTAGCAGATGCCATGAAATATATTAGCGAGGGAAATAAACCAATGTAAATATGATGTACATCAAAATCTCTTTACTATTTAAAAACTGTTTAGCACTGTCAGATACTTTCAATCTGCATTCCATGTCTTCCCACCCTTTGCCCATCCTAATATTGATGCTTTTAGACAGCAAGGCAACATAGCATGTGATAATTAAGACCCTACATGGAGCAAAGCAGCCGGAGCCCTATTGTGTTTGTTCTGATTATTCTTCCCCTTATTACCATGCAGCGAAGCCTCGAGGATCCTTGTCCTTGTTCCAAATTATATTTATTCTTCTTCGCCAAAGGTGTTGCACCAAAATACTGTGATGCCTGGAAACAGTAATTCATCAGGTGTGCTCAAAATAAAGCATTACCCACAAGTAGCTCTGTAATAATCAAGTTTATGTTTTTTGACAATTATTTAAAACCAGCTTGCCTGCAGTGAAAATTCTTTCGTCACTCTTTTCTTTTGCTTTCAAAATAGCACATTTTGCTAATTCTTCCCAGATTTTCTTCAGAATTAGTTTCCTAAATCTCTGTAGCCCCCGCGTTACTCACCCTAAATCTGACTCTGACTCATTTGCAGGCTTTTATGAGATGTGTGCTGCTAAGTAAGTTTTAAATAGCCAGGCTTTCTTTGTGTTAGCTGGCCTGGCAAAACCTAAAATCTCAGTCAGAGATAAAAACGTATCACGACACTGGTTATCAGCGGTCTTTGTCAACCCAAGCTATCTGCTTCAGTTAAACGGGGCATTTGACTTGTCAGCTCTATTTTTTGGCAAAAACCTGACCAATCAACTGCAACCTACTTCACTCACTGTCATAAAAAACATTTAAAAGGTGAAGACATTGTAAAGTTTTGTAATCTCTGGTCTATTAGGTTGAATTTCATCTGTATAAAATAGATCTGGCATTAAATCTGATATATAGGATGGAATATGAAAATATAATTTCTGGATCAAATAAACTCAAATTCTGCTGTGGACCAACTTTACAGTATACCTCATTAAGCTGCGGCTCACCATGTTGCAAGAATAAAACATATTCCCTCAGTAGAGAATGAAAAATGAAACTAGTCATTGAAATGTGTGTTTTTTTTAAAGATTTTAAACAGAAATTCTGAACATAACCTGCTTTAGACTAGGTTTACTCGTCATAAGTTAAAAAGGGTAAACTTCGTGATACTGTCTTTAACCTCAACATACTTGTTAATACAATAATCTTGCGTTGTTGTGCACCCCTCTCATCTTAAGTTGTTCAGAGAATATGTCGGACGTTTTCATATTTATAAGTCACGTATCAAATCACAGCCCACAGCTAAACTCAAACCGCAACTACAAATCAATGCTGAGATTTTTTTGTTTTATTTCATCAAAGATTTTGACCAAATTAGTTGTCATGTGAAACTAATAAACATATTGTGTTTTTTGCAGATGTGAGGTGGTGTATGGATCTTTTTTTAAATGTTAATTTTTTTTAAATCAAGCACTGATCTCCTGTATGGATAACAACATCTGTAAAGTAACTATTTATTTTTATTTTTTTCCCCCTCAAGACAGAACCAATCATAGCACAGCAACAGCAGGTCAGGCATTGATTTTTCCATCCTAAGTAGTGTGTATGTGGCTTTAGTAAGCGTGATAAAGAAAAGCACGGGGAATGGCCTTAATGTTGTGTTTATCGGGTGTCACATAAGTGGTATTCATTACTATGTTCATAGAACTACCTCAGTGCTGCAGAAACAATGGTTTATTTTTAAAGCCAAGCAAAACATAAAGTGCTATAGGTTATCAGAAAAAAATACCATACCATATCCACTGTGCAATATTTGTCTATTGTGTGAAAATAAAACAAATCAACCGAAAACAGCAGCTTTAACCAGCAGTGCTTGAAAAAGCTTTAGTTGTTTAGCAATGTAGAGCTTTAAAGAAGAGGCAGCAAAAGACACTTTAGGCAGTAAAACGTATGTTATAAATAGTATGAATGGTTCTTTTTTTAATTTCTTTTAAATAATCACATGGAAATACTATATATTACAAATAAGGTGTAGAAAGAATTTCTACCACACATTTTCCTTAAAACCAGTGTGGAAAAAGACAGAAATTAACACCTCAGTTCTTGTAAACCAGTTGCAGCCGCTCCCACTGAGAGATCAGCAAACAATATGATATGTCATAATACTGACAGAGAGAAATGGTTGCACAGGGTGAAAGTACAAACTGCGTGTAATTTTAAGTATAAAAAAACCAATTCTTTTCTGCTGGCACAGCCAACGCTGCTGTTAAATTATGACAACAGCATGCTAAAATGCTCGCCCACTGTGCCTGGAGGTAGCCACGGTGCTAACAAAAAGATATACATGAACATAGAGAACAAGAAGAAAGCATGGAAATGAAGAAAGCAGACAGGGGGAGGTGGAAGTAAATGAAACATGACAATGAGCAGTTACCAGTAGCTGCTTTATTACCCTCTGTCAGCCTTTTCAGCAGGATGAAGAACTGCAACTGCTTGTGTGTGTCTTGATATGCAATTGCAATGGGACACTGCAAAATGCCCATCTCCATCTACTAATGTTTCCTATGAAGTTTCGAGACAAATCATTGATTTAGAAACACTTTGTACAAAACACTAAAAACTGAAACAGAAACAATGAGGCTCTTTTTAAAATGATTATGATTTTGAAGACAGCATGTTTCAAAAAAGTAGGGACAGGGAGATAGAAATGAGGCGTTCACCAACATCTGAAAAACTGCGGGAATGGCAGTAATATTCAGGTCTCCAGGATAACACAGTCTCTATTAATAACACACACTATCTGTATTGGAAATCATGACTTGGCTCTGGAAACCCAGACAGAAACACTGTAAGCGAAAATACAAATATGTTAAATCACTAACATGCAAAGGAAAAAACCCATATAAAATATAGCCACAAATTCTGCTGCTTTCTGACCTTCTGCCTGAGTGTATTTAACGTTGCATAACAGTAAACAATGATGGATAAATCAAAAATCTGGAATTCTTTTTGCAAGTCTTCAAATTGTGTCTTGTAGAACCACCCTATGATCAAATAGCTCGTAGAACCACTTTTAGCAGCAATAACGA